CCACTGCAACAACAACTACTACTACTACTACTACGACTACTGCCACTACCACTACGACTACCATTACTACTACTACTACTACTACTACTACTACTACTACTACTACTACTACTACTACTACTACACTACCACTACCACTACCACCACCACCACCACCACCACCACCACCACCACCACGACGACGACGACGACGACTACTACTGCTACTACTACTAACTACTACGATGACAACGACGCCGGCTACTTCTACGACTACTACGACGACGTCGAAGCCGACTCCTACTCCTACTCCTAATACTACTGCTACTACCACTTCTACTACTACTTTTACTTCTACTCCTACACGTTGATGAGTAGAACTCTACGCCCAAATCCGCGGGAGCAGGCGCCGGTCCAGGGGACAAGGCGAGGTGACGGCATCTTGTCAGATCTTTATGGTATTGGTTTTCGGGTTTTGGCATAGGGGTTTAGGGTATAGGGCAAGGTTCAGGGTCTGGGCCAGAGGGTTAGAATTTACCCGGAACCCTGAAGCCACAAAACCCCTTTGTTTGGAGTTTGGATTTCAGGATTCTGTGGAGTTTAGAGTAGACAGGGCTTCGACACGCAACGAGTTTTGCAGGGTTTGCAACGGGCTCTGTGCAAGATGCCAACCTGTTGAACGGACGATAACTAATTTCCACCACTGTTCGTTCGGGCTCCTTAGCAAAATCATACTATAAACTATATCAATCTTTCCTGACTTTTGGCTGTTGATTTTGGGACTCATGCGTCGTTTGCCTTGCACGAAGGCTCTGGTCCTAGAATAGGGTCTAGGGTGTTGGGCTTAAGGTTTAGGGTTTAAGGGTTTAGGGTTTGGGGTCCTGCAGCTACAGTCACAAGGAATTGAGTAAACTTGTACGACATGGCCCGACTAGCTCCCGAGTGGAAAGTTGTTTGGGTTTCTGAGTTTGAAGCTGGGTCTGTTTGCGCCGCGCGCACATGTCGCAAGCAAGCATGCTGAATGGTACAGGAGCCCGAAGGACTAGAGGTTTTCCTTTTTTTCTGAACAGCCTTCAGATGCAAATGGCTGCATCAAACTGATCAACCTAGTCATATCGAGTCATACCCAACAGGAGTTGCTGATGCCTAGTCCGTCAGTAATCAAAGAGACACATCGAGGTTCCTTCTTGTTAAGGGGTTTAGTTTAAGGGTTTAGGGTACATAGTTTTTTTTAGGGTTTATAGGGCTTATAGAGTTTATAGGGTTTAGGGTTTAGGGTTTACAAGGCCAGAGGTTCTGAAGAACGCGAGGTGGTAGACAAAGAGATGCTCAGAGATGTCTTGAGCCTCCCTTGTCTCATGGACACCTAAGCCCTAAACCTTAATCCCTAAACCCTAAACCCTAAACCCTAAACCCTAAACCCTAAACCTTAATCCCTAAACCTTAATCCCTAAACACTGAACCCTAAGCATCTTCTGAGAAAGTCCTTGGTTCGAGTTTTAGGGTTTAGGGTTTTAGGGTTTTAGGGTTTTAGGGTTTTAGGGTTTTAGGGTTTTAGGGTTTAGGGTTTTAGGGTTTAGGGGTGCAGATGAGGCCTACGATGCTGTCCTTGCCTTCGACTCGCTGGCGCAATTCCTGGCAACGGGAGAAATCAAGCTGCTTCAGTTTGCAGCCTCCAAGTGGCCCGACTAAAGAGCTTTAGGGTCTCGGGGGTCGGGGTTTGGAGCTCTTCGGGTTCAGGGATGTGGGGATTTCGATGTAGGGGTTAGGCTTTCTAGGGTTAGGTTGCAGAGATTCACAAGTCAGGGTTTGCACCCTAGAACTGCACAACGTGTTTTCTCGTTGTAAACTTGCGCTGTCTTGCCAGGTTTGAAGCAATGCAGGAGCAGCGGGTCCGCATCGTTGCCGTGGTGGGCCTGTTCGACAAGGGTAAGACCTGGCTGACGAATAAACTCTTCGGGAAGAACCTCCCAAGTGGAAAGCTGTTCACGACCAGAGGGCTGAGTTTCCTCTGGGCTCCTTGCTTTGGGTTGGCCGGTTTAGGGTTTAGGGCCCCATGGTTTGGCTTTCGAGGTTGTTTCACAGTTGATACCTTGGCCAGCTTATTTTTGCACATGGACACAAGTCCAAAGACTATCCGCATGCTCGTTGCTTGCAGTTCCTGACCAACCTTGTGCATCATGCCCTAAAACCCAAAGCCTCACGACCCGCGACACTACAACGCTACAAACTGAACCCCTGGGTCCTTCTCAACCCTAAACCATCAAGTGCTAAACACAAAGCTTAAGCCATAACCTGAGCCCTAAAAACCCACCTACAACCCCAAACCCTAAAACGTTAATTCTGCTGGAAACGAGCTGGAAAAAGCAGCAATAAAGACTCCAGAGACCTAGGTTCCGGAGACCCTAAACCCCTCCCTTAAACCCCTGAGCCCTAAACCCTAAACCCTAGGTTCCGGAGCGCCGGATGCTTGTGCTGGACAGCCCTGGGGTGCAAGGAACCGTGTCTTACAAGTCCCGAGACTGGGCTCGTGCTAGGTACAATAACACAAGCAACAATAATAGTCATAATCAGTTCATAATAGTAAGTAGTAGCGGTTATTATTATTATTATTATGATTATCATCAGTATTGTAACAATAGTAGTACTCGTATCTTTGAGCCAAGAGATGACTTTCTATCGGTTTAAACTTGCTTTGAGAGTGGTGTTCTGAGGGTTAGTTTCTTTTGTATACCTTATTTGTTCTCTCCAATTGTTGACGTACGGTATTCTGTAAGTTCCTTTGCAAGAACCGAGGAGATGTGGATGCAATTCTCGACGCGCGGACAACCGAGTCGATGATGTTCGACATGATCTGTAAGATTTCCCACCATGTGATCTTGGTTGTGAACGACAACACCTGGCTAGAGCAGGAATACGCAGCCATGCTTTTGCGGGTCTTTGGGGAGGGGCTGATCGTGGTGCACAACATGCGGATGACTTCGTGTGCCCAAGAGGCCCAAGAGCTGTTCGCCCGCCAGATCACCCAATGCTATGAAGGTGGGGCGTCCCATATGGGGAACCTGCTTTTCACTGCTGAGTTGGGGGAGTCAGCTTCCCCTGTGCATCACGTCGGACTGGCTCAGGAGAACACGAAAGCAGGACGACTCTTCAACAAGAAGAACTGCGACTACTTGATGCAGCAGCTAGAGCACCGCCACACTTTGGGCTCTAGAGTCGTCCTCGCCAAGATGTTGGAAGCGGAGTTCACCAGGTTAGTCCCAAAGTTCTTCCTGGTGGAGACTGCGCCCGAGCTCGACAAGGGGGTGCAGGACCGCAGGAACCTTAAACCCTAAGACCCTGCAGCCTAAACCTATACTGTCAACACTGACAGCCATGAATGCTTAAGTACGTACCCATAGGCCCCTAAGTAGTTCCTTTTTGGGATTACCTATACAAAGGAACTACTTGGGGGCTTATGGGTAGCCTCGAAGCCTAAATTTGTTGCAGGAGCTCAAGGTTGAGTATGATGAGTACACTGCGGTGCAAGGCAAAGAGCCTGAGGCAGAAGGCGACTATGTCGTCCGCGGCGTGACTGGGTGCTAAGAGTTGTTGCGACGTTGTATTTTTGCAGGTTATACAGGCTGCAGCAGGGTTGTCTAGGGTTCCGGCTAAGTAGCTGAATTTGTTTAAGGTGCCATACCAGGGAGATACAGTCAGTGAATAGGATGGCTTCCTTATTCTGGCACAGCTCCGCTTAGGTTCCAAGGAACAGCAGTATAACACGCTGGGGGTCCCCAGTAGAACTTAAAACTGTGAAGCTTAACTCATGCTCTTTAACAACAGCCAAGGTGATGAAACTGGTGTCGCCGCGGCAAGATGCTCAAATCACCATGAAGAAACAAGGTGCGATCCCGCCCCAAACCCTAAAGCACTCTAAATACTAGACCACGAGATGCTCAACCTAAACTGCCCCACGCTAAAAACCCGTCTGGACCCTGTTTCCTGAACTGCCCCAAACTAACCCCCAACTCCAAACCCTCTAGCGGAACCCTGTAAACTCTAAACTCCTAAACCCTGAACCCCTAAACGCTAAATCCTAAACCCTAGGAAACCCTGTAAAGGTGTGATCTCACGACTCGGGGAGATTATCGCGCATGACGTCAGCTTCGAGCCCTGCGCAAACGTCTTCGACCAGCGGGTCGAGGTTGGGCGTCCAGAAATTTAGGGCATTAGGGCTTTGGGCTTTTAGGATTTAGGGTTTAAGGGTTTAGGGTTTGAGGGTTTATGGTGTTAGGGTTTAAGGTTGGTGTTTAGGCATTTTAGGGTTTGGGGTTGAGGGTAGCTGGGCTTCTCCGAACATGGTACTTGTTCAACATACTTGACCTTGTTGCTTCAGATCTCCTCCTTAGGAGCTGCATTCCCGATGGTCCCTCGTTTCTAATTCTAAGGTCCTTGGTACCACTTTGCTCATGTATAGCTCATCAGTTCATGCGCAGCACGTGTAGCTTTGGGATGCGAGGATTCAGGTTTGATTTGTATGTGAAGAATTTTTGGAAACCCTTCTTCACGCCATAACCGCTAAGCCCTTTATAGAACCCTTTATAGAACCCTCTAAGGAACCCTTTAAAGGAGCCCCAAAACCCTATTCTAATTTTCCCCGAAGCCCTACTTGCCGGGCCAAGGAGCCCGGGGGCTTCGATGACTTAGTTCTTGGATTCCTAGTGCACAAAAGTCCAGGCTTGACGGTTTAGGGTCTAGCTTCCTATGGAGGCAACAAAATAGATAAGGGTGCCATAAATAAGAACCGGTTCTCTTATCAGGGTTGCTGCAAGGGCTAATACTATTGTAAGGGCTTATTATATACGGGTTAATATACTGACTGTTTATAAGGGTTGCTACTTTCGGGGCTTGGTGTAAGGTCCTGAATAGTTAGATTAGGGTTTTGGTATATCATACTCTACGTGTGGTCGACCCCTGGAAAATGACGTGGACTTATAACATAATCTGGACACCTAAACCCTAAGCCCTAAACCGAAAACCCCTAAACCCTAAACCCCTAAACCCCTAAACCCCCAAACCCCCAAACCCTAAACCCCTAAAGCCCTAGAACCCTTACATACACTGGACCCCTAAACCCTAAACCCTAGGATGCTGCCTTCGTGGCTCTCTGGACGTTGATCTTTCAACTTGTGTGGCTCAGATCTCTTTCTTTGTGTAGAGCCCCGAATCTCCAGCGACGTAGCCCCGAACCCTCATAGTACAGGGGCCTTCATAATTAGAGAGGGTTTTGGGGAATAGTAGTACTATAACTCCAATCAGGAACCCCCGAAATAGTATAGGCAAGTACTAAGGCCCATATATTGCCCTAAACACGATACCGGTCCCTTAAACACAAACCCCCGGAGAGAAACCCTTCACCGCCCTAAGCCCCCAAAACCGTAAGCCATCCGTGGAGAGATCTTTCTTTCGATAGAAACCCTGTCAAACTCTTATACGACCTTTCTTACGCCCCTGTAGACACTCCAAGCCCTAAACCCTAGGCCCTAAGCCCTAAAGCCCAAAAGCCCCTAAAGCCGAAAAGCCCCTAAACCCTGAACATACAGTACCTTCTGGTGCTCGGTGCAGGGGTCGCTCCTTCTCCTGCCAGAAGCCCCCAACAAAAATCCTAAGCCCTGATACCCCAAACCGCAACCCTCAAGAAGGTTCAGGATTTAGGGCTCTTAGGGTTTAGGGTTCAGGGTTTAGGGCTTAGGGTTTAGGGCTTAGAGGTTTATGGCTTAGGGTTTAGGGCTTCGGGCTCTTGGGGTTCAGAGCTTCGGGTTTTTTAGGGCGTTTAGGAGAATCTGAGAAGCGATGAGGATGGCACGGAAAGGCTCATCCAGATCGAATGCCCTGGGGTGAGCGAAGAGGACATCGACTGGGAGGAGCCACTTCTTGGTTGGGGTGTTTGGGGTTTACTGCATTTCTGGGTTGTGTGCGGTGTTTTCTTTTTTTTTGTGGCTTTGCAGGTTGCTGCATGGGTTTCGTTTTCGGAGAGTGCTGGATTTGATGCTTGACAGGGTTGTGATAGGTATTCTAGGGGTTCGACATGGATTCCATGTTCCGGATATTTAGGTTTTAGTGTTTAATCTTAGGGTGTGGATGATGTTGCTACAGGTACTTCTGGCCTCGTGCTTGAGAAGTTCTATTGGCATTGAAGTGTTTTGGAAGGGCACGTCGAAGTTGTCAGCCTGTCCCCCGCCGGGCCCCAGCCACAAGAAGCAGGTATTTGAGGTTGATATCTCGAGGTTTGGGGGCTTTTGAGCCTAAACCCTAAACCCAACTCGGGACCCCATACTGCGACCACCCTGGATGTCTATTGTTAGGAGCTCAGCAATGGTGTGAAGGTCACCATCAAGAAGGAGAAGCGCATTGATGAAGCAGTTGTTCAGCCTGTGCAGCCCATCATGCAGAGTCTTGGCTAAACCCTAAACCCCCAACCCTGAACCCTAAACCCCAAACCCTGAAACCCTAAACCCTAAACCCCAAATCCTAAACCCTAAACCCCAAACCCTAAACCCTCAAGACCAGGTTAAATACAAATTGTTTAGAAAGCAAAAGCCGAAACCCGGTCAAAACCCGCACAAAACCCGCACAAAACCCGGGACCCGAACCCTAAACAATTTGTATAAACCCCAAACCCTAAACCCCAAACCCTGAACGCTAATCCCCAAACCCTAAGCCCTAAACCCCAAACCCTAAAACAACCCCAAACCCTGAACCCTAATCCCCAAACCCCTAAGCCCTAAGCCCTAAACCCTAAACCCTAAACCCCTAAACCCTAAACCCTAGACCCTGAACCCAAAGTCCTACGCCCTAAATCCTAGACCCCAAACCCTGCACCCTGAACCCCCTGAGTCGACCGGGGTTTCGGGTGTAGGGTCCTTGGGGTCTCTAGCTCCGAGAGCCCCTGCAATCCGGTTTATGCCAGAAAGCCCTAATAAAGCCTTACTTCTATGAGACCATGCAATTTGCTTCGGGTTTTGGGTTTTGGGTTTTGGCTAAGGCCCGAGAAACCCCTTACTCTAGAATCGAAGTCTTCGAGCCCTTTCAAAGACCCTAAGACTCATTTCTGGTCCTCTTCATTGCTTCTAAGCTCGTGTAGTCTAGAGCACGCTCGCTGAGCCCAACAGCCCTAATATTATGGTCCTTCGACCGGCAGGGACTTTCAACAACCTCAACCCTAAATCCTAAATCCTGAACCCTAAACTAAACACCAAGCCGAAAACACGTTAAAAACACCTAAACTAAGTGTAACACTCAGCCTAAAGAACCTTAAAAGACCTAAACTAGTTAACACTAAGCCTAAAAACATTAAAATGACCTAAAAGCTCGAAGCCCTCATGCCGAAAAGGAACCATGGGACCTGGGTGCGCAACTTCGTCTTTGATCACAGCGATGGGCGCTTCGAACTCCGTGGTGCGGAGGCCACTGTGGGTTAAAGTTACTCTACTTTCTTTTTAGTATGCTATGCGATGCGGTGGTATAGTATGTACATGCTGCTAGTCTTAGATAGTCTTGTAGTACATTATACTACATCACACGGATGTTCAGAGTTTGTGTTTCGGGGGGTCGAGGGCTGCAGGATCTGGGGCTGAAGGAGTTTGGAGGTTTGTCCGGGTTAAGGCCTCCGGGTTTAGGGGTTTAGGGGTGTAGGGTTTCGGGGTTTAGGGGTGTAGGGTTTAGGGGTCTAGGGGTTTAGGAGTGTAGGGTTTGGGGGGTTTAGGGGTTGAGGCTTGTTGAAGATTTGGGTCTATGGTTGCCGCACGCCTGTCATCCGACAGCCGAGTAGGCCGAGAAATGAAGCACAGCACAAATCGGACATACCCCAAAGTCAAGCATGCAGCCGCCGTAAGGAACTGCGAAGGAGCTTGAACAAGCCCCTGGCGAACCTTAGAGTCTAGGCATCAACAAAGAGAAACCCTGCTTAGGGTTTAGGGTTTATAGCCTAGCTGTCCCACCTTCCAGCCAAATAAGTCCTGGCTCATACCTCCACAAACCACGAGCCGCAATGAACCGTGGCTTTGATGGCCTTAACCGCTTGAACCCCCGACTCAGGCTTGCATAGCCTCCATAAGAAAAGCCTAGCAAGCGATGTTTTGTTGAAGGACTTCTCCTTGGACCAGGGAGTCTTGACGATCAAGCTTCACAAGTCCTCGCAGTCCCGCCGTGGCAGCCGGGCCTGTTAGATGGGGGCCTCTAGAGTTTACCCGCAGGGCCCAATAACCGGCTACGTTTAGGGTTTAGGCTTTGGGGTTTAGGGGTTTAGGTGTTTAGGGTTTAGGGGTTTAGGGTTTAGGGGTTTTGGGTTTATAGGGTTTAGGGTTTAGGGTTCCCTGCACAGCCTATTGTCCGCATTGCAGTTCTTTTGTTAGGTTACCCGTATTCATATACTAAAATCATGGAATCCTAACCATAAGTATCCAAGCAAAAGGAACTGCAATGGAGACTATCGGAAGCTCTCTTCTCAGATCTCTGCATTTTAGGATTCGGCGTTTGGTGTTCCAGTCCCAAACCGAAAGCCTTAAACCTTAAACGCTATTAATTGTAAATCCTGAACCGATAACCCGAAAACTAACAGGTCGTACCAGTAATAGTAATCATAAAACTGCAATAGAAAAAATAGTAGTAGTAATCTACCCATCTTTGAGGAAGTTCTTGCTGCTCCGGGGCGTATGTTGTCCTTCCTTCTGGCCTCCGCCGAGGTAAAGTTGGCCGGCATGTGACACAGCCCTTGCCGACTCCGCTTCCTGGTGATTCAGGCATTTGGGCTTTAGGGTTTAGGGATTCCGCTTCTAAGCCTGCCAAGGGGTCAAAGCCTCAACAGCATACTTGCGAGCTGAACTCGAAGCCCTAATGCATAAGCTTCAAAGCCTAAGTATAGCTGAGCTGCACACTTACATCCTCACCAGTGGTGGGTTTACGGAGAGGGTTTCGGATCTATCGTCCGGCGCCAGGTTTCTGTGGTCGGCGGAATTTCCGCCATCATGTAGTTGGCATCCAAACAAAGCCAGGGTTAAGCCACTCTCTGTCTCTCTCTTTGCATATGTACATATCATACACATATTCTATATGTGTACACAGGGTGTATTCATACGTACCTGTGCCTGTGTCTATATATGTGTAGATAATTATGTTTGTATGCCTCCCTGTGTGTGTTTTCAAACTAAACTCCTGATAAAATTGACAATTGAAGGAATGCATCTAATTCCTAAGCCCTAAACCCTAGAACCTTGAACCCTAAGAACCCTAAACATGAGCTTCATGATGGCAGGCTTCAGGCTTGGGGGTCGCAGGTACAGTCTGCGAGCTTCTTGAGCTGGGTCCTTGTTTTTGGGTTCATGTCAATTAAAATGATGTGGAAATAAAAAACATGTGTGTGTATAGTGTATATAGGTATATGTATACAGGTGTGGGTGTGTGTGTATATATATATATGTATCTTGTTCTCTTTCGCTCTCTCTCTCTCTCTCTGTCTCTCTCTCTCTCTCTCTCTCTCTGTAGATCCCTGTTACGGTAACTTAGACTAGGCTCCTGAACTGGCCTCTCAAACTGTCGGGTTTGGGGTTTAGGGTTGGGGGTTTGTAGCTGAGTGGCAATTCGTCATGCCACGGTTTCTGGGAAACCAGCTGCAAGAAGCTGAAAAAGTGGGTCTTCTTAGCATCCGAAAGTGTAGTATAGGGTCGGAATAAGACCAATACTATTCCGTAGTATAGGGTCGGAATAAGACCAATGCTATTCCGAGAGCTCCTCGCTATGATCAGAGTATAATATACCTACAAAAACCCTATTAGGCACCTTTAGCACACCCTTAGACAACTCTGAAAGTAACCCTTGTAGAACCCTTTACCGAAGATTTGGGTTTAGGGTTTAGGGTTTAGGGTTTAGGCTGCTGAGGGTGGGCTGGGCCTGGGGGCTGGAGCTAGGGGCTGGGCTGGGGAAGGGTGGGTAGAAATTGTTAAGGGTGGGCTTGGGGGCTGGCTTGGCGCCCTTAACTGGGGTGGGCTGGGGGGGCGGCCTGCGGGGCTGAACCCTGAGCCCTAAACCCTAAACGATTTCCATTAAGAGCGTTCGATTTAGATTTGCGCCAGAACGTTGTGAAACTGCGAAACCTGCAAAATGGTTCTGACTTTTCGGTTCCATGCGATTTTCTTTCATCGGTAACGATCGCAGACCGGCGGGCGGGAGGGGGGGGGCAGGGCGGTGCTTTGTTTTTCTGTGCGTACAGGAAAACAGAAAGTTTTCCTGATTTTTGGACTTGGCGGGGTTGGGGTGAGGGCAGGGCTGGGGGTGGGCTGGGCTGGGCTAGAACATGGAATGGTTGTGTCCCGACCGAAAAAATATGTTTTCGGATGGCCAACAGCAACAAGCAATTTCTACTTATTTCTTTCTTGAGGGTTTAGGGTGTAGGGTTTAGGTTGCAGGGTTGAGGATTGACAGGGTGATTAGTACCTATAGTCTCCATTGTAAATCCTGTTTGGCTAACCAACTTCAGCTGTCAGGGTCCTATAGTAGAAGATTGGTTGACCAAAAAAAAGGAACTAGCAAAGGCCGTAATTTTCAAAAGTTCCATGTTTCAAGACTTACCATTGAAGGAAAACCCTCAACAGTAAGCCGCGGCCATGCAGATTGGAATCTAAACCCAACGCCAGCCCCACAGCCCTACTCCCCGAAGTGCAACGCCAAGGCTCACGTCCACTGCGCAATCCTCGCTCGCTGGCTTCGAGGTCGCCCCGGACAGTTCCCCAAACCTTTAGGGTGTAGGGGTTAAAGGTTTGGGTGTTGACCAGGAGGTTCCTCTGTACGGGTTTTGCGGAGCTTTAGCGGTTTAGAGGTTTGGTGTTTAGGGTTTAGGGCTCTATAGGATGTTATCAGGTGTTGTGTGAGGAATCTCCGAACCTCGTGACGAAAAGTTCGAATCTCACTCACACGCTTTCCCATGCCAAATCCCTGCAGATTGGCAACCCATGCAAGTCCTGCCTCAAGCCGCGTAAATCCGTAACCTCCCCTGCCACCTTCCAGAGTGTACTGAAACTACCCTGGGACCCCAGCAGCAACGAAACCCTAAACCCTAAACTCTGAACAGCATGATCCAAAATCCCTGGGTCTTTGACGATTTACGCTTCGGCCTTAGTACCTTCTAGGTTCTACAGTGGGGTGTGCGGGGTGTAGGTCTAGGTTAGAGGATGAGTGGCTGAGCCCTAAAGCGTTAGAGTTGAATCCGCGTACCCCCATTCAGTCGTTAGCCGGAAGCCCTAAAACTCAGGCCAAAACCCCTTTGGGAGGGAAGGCTCCGGCTTCGTGACACATTCGGTAGCGGATTGGGGTTTAGGGGTTAGGGCTTAGGGGTGTGATTATCCGTCACTGCTTATGTGGTGACATGTATTTTTAGCCCTCTACGAGGCCCTAAACCCTAAACCCTACACAGCCTAAACCCTAAACCCTAAAGGCCCTAAACCGTAAACCGTAAACCCTAAGCCCCTCTATGCTAGATACCGAGGTACAACGGCACATCTTCATCTTTCAGCCCAGCACCCTCCACCCGCCTTCTGCAGGTTCCCCCCCCTTGGTGCACTCACAAGGGTCCCAGAACGCTTTGATACGACCCTTCGATATATTTTTTCTCTGAGTTCTGCAAGGGGAACTAAAGGTGTGTAGAGGGCCTTAACATGTGCTCAACTGCGCCGCCGAAGCCCATGCCCTTCACACTGCAAAATCCTAAAACCGCCCACTTGCCCCCCAAGATCTGAGGTCGTCTCCGCTGCAGAGAAAGAAGCGCCGGAAGGTGGAGAGGAGCTCTGAGAGGCCCAAGGTGTCCTGGGGGTTTAGGTGTAGGGTTTAGGGTGTAGGGTTACCCTAAATCCTAAACCCCAAACCCCAGGCTCCAGCTACTTCAGTGGGCAATTCGCGCGAAATTAGGGCCCCGTTTTTAGGTCCTCAACTGTAATAACTAAGTAGTTCGGCACCCTTGTAACAACTACCACTGCCCAAATCATGGGTTACTGAGTCACATGTTGTATGGTTAGCAACCAAGCATAAGCCTGTGTTCGGTCTCGAGTTTGTCTACAAGAGGTTGCGAGCCTGAGAAAGGCTTGCGGTACACCGAACGGCTAGGAACCCTGAGCCCTAAACCCCTAAACCCTGAACCCTAAACCTTAAACCCTAAACCCGAAACCCCAAACCGTTTCAGGCCTTGCTTGCGGCTTCCGGCTTGGTCACCTGAGCCAAACCACATGCGAAACCCGAGACCGTGAGCAGTAGGGTTTAGGGTTTAGGGTTTAGGGTTTTTGTTGTGATTCCGACCATGGCAGTCCCTGCCAGCATGAGAGACGTGCAAAGTGGCTTGATTTAAGCCGAAGCTAAAGCCCATTCGTGTGGTTGATGACGACGAATAGGCGCCAGAAGAAATTGCAGCGGCATCACGGTC